ACCAGTCAGATCTGATTTGATGGTACACACACAAAAATAATAAAATAAAAAGGTTTGTAATAACCTTGACTGTACTGTGTTATTAATCTGGATTATAATATTTTTTATTTACTCAATAAGGTTGTGCGTGGTCTGTGAACTACTTCATTAGATTTTGGGCCCAGCAAAGCAGTAAGATTGGTGTTAAGATGAGTAAAAAGAGGTATGGGAGCGTGGGGAACATGTCTGACCTCATGAGAATTGGTTTTGTTTTATTGACACTGTTGACAGGGACAATTCCCCTTTGTGAAGTTGGTAGGAATCAGATTTAGCTGTCTCCACATTGTTCTTTTAAATACAAAATAGAAATACCAAATAGAGGTATGTTGTAAATTTTTCCTCTCAACAATCCAAGATATACATCCTTAGAACATATTTTGGTAATCTTCACACAATAATCACTCAATATTATCAACTGCTCCTGTCCATTCCTGGGTAATTGGCATAGTAAAATAATTTTCAAGTGACCATTTCCAGGTGTTCTTAGGTTCTCAATTAACCACTACAGGATAGGTAAAGCAAAACTGGCTTTAAGAACTCCTAAGCCAGGGCTCCAAAACCTTTGCAAATTGAGACCTTGGTACCACAAATTCATTCCTATGACAGATACATTGTTCAGATCTATTAATCTACCTATTATGCCACCTATGTCACAGAATCCCTCTCCATTTAGCTTACATCTACCCAGCTCTATTCAAACACAACTGTAAGGCACAGACAAAAGTCTCTCCAAACATGCAGACAAAAACATATAGTTTTATAGAGCAATCAATGTTATTTTACTTAGTAACATAAACCTGGGCTAATGGATCTTAATATTTAAAAGCTTTAATAATATGGAAAAAGAAAAAAGCAGTATGAAGAAAAAACTGAAGACTCAATGCTTACTTCGTCCTTTAAATATCTACTTCACAACTATACCAGGAACATTTTGAGAAATTATACTTTGGGTTAAGTAAATATGAACTTTCCCACTATGTTTACCACTCACCATATTGATTGTTTCCATCATGGGAGAGGATTTGGCAGCACTGAGTCGAGCACTATCCATTGCAGCCTAAAGAATAAAAATTCACTTCACTCAGAACATTCATTTGATTAGGATTAACATCCCCAATATACCTTTATAAAAGTGTTTTATTTTCAAACTGAAGGACACCCATAAAATAATAATAGAACTACAACAAAGTCAAATTCAAGTTAAAGCCCAATCAATATTTACTTAGAAGAATTAATTGCTTTGGTAAATTTTACCAGAAGAGGAAGCCCCCTCTCCTTACAGGTGAAAAATTTAAGTTACAGAAATTAATTGCCACTAAAAACTGGAATAATATGACTATGGTCAAGTCATCTAGCTTGTGTGTACTTCCAGCCTTTACTGGCTAAAGAAAGGAAGGAACTAAATGAACTTCTATTTAAGGGTTTTTAAAAATTATATCCAAGCAAAAATTTATATATTTCGTGTTTTAACTTTTTGAAGGTTCTTCATTTCAACAGTGGTTCAATCTTAAAATTTACTCTGTAAATTAACACAATCCAGATATAATAAATGAGGTAAGAAAACCATAAGAAGTGCCTTTCCTGGGCCTGCAGAGTATGGACTAGCACTTATACTTCCTAATTTTTTTCCATTTTATTTTATTAATTTTAATGAACATTTATTTACCAAGGTTTCGGATTTGCCTTCATTCATTGTTGCACTTTTCTCCCTGCCCACCCCTCCCCCGCCAAATATGCTCCTCTCTTTGAAAAGTAAAAGAAAAATTTGTTCACTGGTATACAATCCCCTGCACCCCGCCACCCCTTCGCCCTGAGTACACTCCACTATGTAACTTTAATTCTGGACTCTTGTGATAACCATAATACTCTATCATGTATCGCTTTTAAACTGTTCTCTCCCTCATCTGTTTAAATGCAGTATATATAATTTATCCAGTTTTTCCCAGTCTTACCTCAACCCTGATGTCACTCCCGTTCTATAACAGTGGCACCATGCAGTATTTGTCCTTTAGTGACTGAGATATTTCACTCAGCATAATGTCCTCCAGGCTCACCCATTTTTAATAATATTGCATGAGTTCCTTGTTTTTCAATGCAGCGTAGTATTCCATTGTGTGAATATACCACAGCTTCTCTATCCATTTGTTTACTGATGGGCACTTGGGCTGTTTCCAACTCCTTGCTATTGTGAACAAAGCCGCGATAAACATGGGTGTGCATATATCTGCTTCGATGTCAGTTATGGTTTCTTTAGGGTATATTCCCAGTAGTGGAATTGCTGGGTCAAATGGTATCTCTATTCGCAACTTTTTGAGAAAGTGCTACACTGCTTTCCATAGTAGTTGCACCATTTTACAATTCCACCAACAATGAATAAGGGTTCCAGTTTCTCCATAACCTCGCCAGTATTTGTTGGTTACTGTTTTGTTAAATTTTGCTATTCTTACTGAGGTGAGATGACCTCTCATCGTTGTTTTGATTTCCATCTCTCTTAGAGCTAAGGATTTTGAGCATTTCTTCATGTGCTTCTTGGCCATCTGAATGTCTTCTTTGGTGAAGTGTCTGTTCATATTCTGTGCCCATTTTTCAATTGGATTATTTACCTTTATCTTGTTGTGGTACTCAAATATTTTATAAATTCTAGGTGTAAGTCCCTTATCTGACATGTCATTACCAAATACTTTTTCCTAGTCTGTGGCTTCCCTTTTTACCCTGGTGGAGAAGTTTTTGGATGTGCATAGGGATTTGATTCTTAGAAGGTCCCATTCATCTATTTTATCTTCTCCTGGTTGTAGATTTTTCAGGATACTTTTAAGACTGTTTATGTTGTGGATTAGGACTATTAGAGTTCTTCAAAGCTTTTCTTTTTTTTTTTTTTTTAAATAGGTAATATATAATTTTATTAATAAATAGCGTGAGAGCATAGTGATAAATTTTTAAACATTAAGTTTTTTTAAACATCTTGGCTTTAATATTGTAAATATTGGCCTCTAGGGCACTGCAAATAAATACATGAAAATATCCTCATTTCCATGCATAGGTATTTAGTTGCTATGTCTACCAATTGTTTTGGACAGTTTAACTTTCTGCATTAATTTATATTCATGTAAACAGTTACAACTGAGTTAATATTGAACCAAGCAAGAAATATTTTACGTTCAATATGCTCTATATAGCAGACAGGTGGTAATGTTTTAAAGTTATATAAAACTTGTTTTCTTTAGGGGCATTTTTTGTAATGTGGATGCTCAACTGAAAGCTGAGGAATGGGTTCTCTGACTAACAAACATAAGTCACAAAAAGGGGGATTTTTGTTCTTCTTTAAGGGAAACTGTACCTTTGCACATCATCTCTCCAGGCTTTATATCTTCAATTATTAGTGAAAATGCTTACAGGCACTAGCTCCAAAATTCTGCCTTCAAGGTAAAGTTATAAAGTTTAAAAAAAGAGTGGTCTGTGATATTAAAAAGAAAAATAGGTTCAAGTTCCAGCAACACTAATGCTAAAATTTACATTCAATTTCTTAGCATCCACAAAGTGTAGTATTTCCCTGGGTTTGCTATTTTGTGCAGATTTATTTTCCTTAAGTGAAATGAAGTTTGAATAGAACAGTCTGTGGTGTTGTAATATTGGCAGCTGCCAGTTCTTGCCCGTCAATGAGTCACAGTTCTTTCAATGTCTTGGAGAGATTTGGCATTGTTCGTTCTTCGATAGAGGTTACTGACTGTAAATAAAGTGTCCTATTTTTTCCCTCGCAGCAGCAACAAGTGCATGAGATCCTCCTCAGTTTCAGCAAGCAGGGTTGTGTCATCTGCATGGACTGAGGCTCAATGTCAAGAGGACAAAGATTCTCACCACTGGACCAATTGGCAGTGTCAGGATGGATGACGAAGAGATTGAG